GATGTGAGTGAACGGGTGTAGTAGCCGTGTGAAAAAGAGAAAGGCAGTGTCCGTTTGCTTCTTGCTTCCCGGTCCTGCTTTGTGCTCGACCGTGCCTTGTCTTCTCCTTCTTCTCTAGCCTTTGTGGCTGAACCTTTGAGGCTACGACATCTTTTACACGGAGCCATTTGTGGGCTACCGAGAGCAACTGGGTTTGGCCGTTAGGGTTGGGATTGTGGGTTGTTAAGTGTGGTGTCGATTGGTTCAAGATTGAGCCCGGATTTCTTGGAGATTGGAGCTCATAATCCAACAACTCTTCTTCTAGAAGTCTCTTATTTTGCCTTCGCTCGTCTCTCTCCATTCTTCAAAAGAAAGTGAGTTTTCTCTGATTCTTTTCACAATTTTCTCCTCAGTAAGGATATGCTTTCTTTCTTGCAAGTTTTGTGTCACTTTTATCATTATAATTTTGCATTTGCTATGATTTTCAATACCTCATTGCAAGTAATTTTTCTGGGTTCGGTTTTTTCTTTGATGATTTTCTTCCACTTTTTAACATTTAATCCTAATGGGCTTGTTCTATATATCATATTTTTCATATCCTTTCTCTCTTTTCACTGTACGATGCCCCATGATGATACGTGAAGTATGAAAAGCTATTAAAATTAGTTGTTAAACTGGATGAATTTTTTGTGTTTCTTGATTATTGAATGGTTCTATGTTTATTCATTTTCATGTTATGCAATTTACGTGTAGTCTATTCTTGAATTTAAGAACATTTGTTTAGATTCTGAGTAGTTCATATTTATCCTGAATAATATTTGTGTTGGATTGCACCCCTGAAAATATAATATAGTTACCAATATCCTATTTAGTCTTCTATTTTTTGTCAAATGAATGTAAGAATTGGGTTTTATAAGATATCCTGTGCAATTTTGAAGTTAAGCTAAGAATGTGATGTTAATTAGAGCTACCTAATTTTCTTGGTGATGTTTTAAGTCCGTGTTGAAATCTGGTAAAAAATAACTATATATTTTTGTAATGTGTTTCCACTGCATTTTTGAATAGGTGAATCGTTTATTCGAAGCCTCTGGAATAGCTGAACAAGGATACACAGATGTTGCAATTGGAATCAATATTGGCA